CGTTTATAAAACACGCTAATCCCTTTCTTAAAGTGTTAGCTGAATGTGTTGAGTTTAATTATGGAGTTGACCTGGATGAAAATAAATTAACTGGAAAAGGATTGAACAAGGATTCAAAAATTTAATAATTGGAAAAGTTGGTAAATTTATTCTCTTTTGTGTAAACAAATGAGAAAAATTATTTCATGCATATTTCTTTTTGTGTACATATACAAATTGTGTACAATCTGTTGATAATACAAACAGTGTATCACATAAGCTTTCCATGACATATCAGTATGTCTTTGATGAAATAATCCCTCCAAGACCTTCTGGAAACATCGTTTGTTTCTGTCAAAATGCGTTTGTGTGTAAATTAGTTGTATCCACACCAAAAGCAAACTTCATTGCCCCTTTGACCACATAAAGTTCAGACAACGTTTGAAGGCCAACTGGTTAATGAGAGTAATATCTAGTACCATACGATTATTTTAACCAAAAATTACCTAGTTTTCGTTAGTTGATTTCAAGTGAATATTTTTTGAAAGCTCCAAAATTGATGTTTTTTTAAAACAGAACATATGATAACCTTATTTAGTTGAATTAGAATAAATGGTGAGTTGCTTTATAGAAAGACTCGCAAAATGTTATAATAATACACATAGTTTATTAGTTCAAATTATGCAATGGTTTACAGCTAGTTAAACAAAGTAATCAGTTTGGATAACCCCAAAAATAGAGAGCTCAAACAGCAAAGGTGGGAACATACTAAAAAAGAATTTTCAAAAACTGTCTATTTGTAGAAATGCTTTTTAGTTGGTTGATTACAAAAGTAATAGCAGTGAACGCACAGTGACTAAAAGTAGGTGTCAAAAAAATCTGTCCATAATTATTAATAAAGCAATTATTTTCCCAAAATAAACTGGAACAAAGAACACAACACTTAAATTGAGTACGATTTAATTCCAGTATCATTTCGCTGCATCTCAGTTGGTGCTTACTTCCGAACACAAAATAGCTTATATATCACAGTTGTTGATAATCCAACATAGTATAAATTCACTCCTTCACTCACGTGATTATAAGGCAATGCCAGATTGATACAGACCACCTTTTGCTGACACCGTAGTGCTTTTGGCGCTTCACTACTATAGCCTCCGTAAATTGTAGCAGCCGAATTCGTTGATCAAGCACTCATATGACTTACACAATCTGTGATGAAAATCATCCGTAATACTTTACGAATCCAGTTTCTATCTCAGTGTATCAAATCTAACAAACATCGTGTTTCATTCTTCAAACGTCCCCATGAATCCAACATACGTCTCTGTGCCCGGAATCTGAAGAGATTGACAAATTGAGACATAAATGATTCGAACATGAACTTTCTAGTCTTACAAGAATTTCATGCCAAAACTGTGTCCATGCTAGTTCGCCTTAAAAAATACCATATGTTTTGAGCCTATGTTATTGGGAAAATTCGACGAACTTTAATAACGAGATTTGACAAGTCTAAGGGTTGCGTTAGACCTGAATCTATACTTCCGGAACGCCCTGGACAATTTGTGAGGAATATATCGTCTATACAACTGAACAGTTTTCAAACTGAAGCAGTTTTATGTTCTCCAGCAGAAGATTAACTCAATAGTATCGCGTGCGCCAAACAAAAGTTAACCACACGCACACAGGATTCGGTCAGTTACCTGAAGGCAAAACTTGTTCATCTTGAACGAGAATGCCGAATAATGCCATTGAGATAGCCATCCGCTTTGACAAATCAGCATATTGCAACCTTGAACAACTTTAAACCGTACGTCCACAAGATAAAGCATCTCCTGTCAATGTTGTGCATATGATCGAATACCAGGAGAAATGGGGTTTATTAATAAGTGACTTATCTAGGTTTATAGGGAACTGGGGGGTTTTTATGAACTCGAAAAGAAAATATCATATGAGGTACGGATTTTTCTGGAAAGAAATTCCATCAAAGAAACCACTGCCACAAATCTCCAATCAATCAGTACTCAGGTACTACAAATGTATGTGTTCCCGAAAATGTATAATCCTGGTATAATGATGTCCATGCAAAATTCCCTACAGTACACCGTGGCCAAAATATCTATTGTAAGGTACTCCTTCGAAGAGAGTTTCGAACTTACGCAGGCTCTAGAAAAACTAAACAAAAATGACAGTCATATGGCATAATTTGATGTTTCCCGTTCACCAATGTGCCTGTTTCGGAAAAAATACAGATAATTGGTGTCTATATGTAAGAGAACCGAAACCAGCTGAATATTATGCCTTCTGTCCTGGAACGTCTACTAATTCTATGCACACACTTCAGTTTTCGAGGCCGGCAGTTTAGATGAGTCGATGGCGTGGTTATGGGCAGCCTATGGGGTCATATTCTAGCTAACATATTCATGGCCAGTCTGGTGACCAAAGCCAATAAAACATTGACCGGTATTCTGCTCTACAGGAGGTATTTTTCTGACACGTTGATAATCACCCAGAGCGCCAGGGTGACCGAGGAGTTGTTAACTGAATTGAATTTGCTTGACAAGGACATCCAAGTCACTGTGGAAACTGAGCAGTACAACACACTCCTATTTCTAGATATTGGTATTGGTGGAAGAACAGACCGAACTATTTCTAGATTAGTGCATCAAAAATCCACATGGGACAACCAGTATATGCATCCTGGGAGTTTTGCTCCAATCCAATTCAAAAGAGGCCTCGTGCTTACTCGGTTTGATCGATCTAGGAGTTTTTGTACTCTGGATAATGTGGAAAGTGAGATATTTCCCCCCACGGAAGCACTAAAGCTCAATGGTTCCCCATCGAGGTATATATAAAGATACAGTGTAAAAGCCAAAGCTGAGACATCGGGGATGGCAGCACCAAAACGCTTAATTCTCATTCATTTGCGGTTCCAATTTTATGATGTAGGTCAAATTGTAGGAAGACGGCTGGTGGCGTCTGTAGTTCGCACACATTTTGCTGCTGTTGTACACTTCACCGGAACACAGATTCCGATGCCTTGATGAAATCACTCCCCCGGTTCACCAAACCACACGTAATCTAAGCATTTCAATGTGGGTTTCAGCCACTTACGTACACAGAACAGAAAATCAGTTGGGAACCCGAGTAGCAGAAAACATGTCAATATGGGTTGAATACTAACCGATCAGATTGAGGGCCATCAAGCCAGCAACACAAGACACCTGCGTTGTCAATTGTTCGCCATCTACTGCAGACTGTTCATCAAACCGAACACGGGACTTCTTTTCGGGTTGTTTACACAACCTAGAATGTGATGCTGCTTAGATTTGCAGAGGCTATAGCAATCAAGCGCCAAACGCTCTCACTGTGTCAGCAAACGGAGGCCTGTATCAATCTAGCATTACCCTATAACCACCTAAGTGGAAGGGTGAATTGTCAACAACTGTGATGTATATGCTATTTTATGCTCTGAAATAAGCACCAACTGAGATGCAGCAAAATGATACAGGAATTATATCGTTCTCAATTTCAGTGTTGTGTTCTTGATATAAGTATTTTTCCTCTGAAAATGATTGCCAAAGATATTAAAAATAAACTCCACCCTACCTATTTGTAAGTTTTTGTTGATTTTATTTACACCCATAAATTTATTACATTGTTATCTCCAGTGTTAATAAAATACAATTTTCTTTATTTCTTTTTCTTTTTTTTCATTTTTACCTCTTTTAATTGAATACACAGTGAAACAATTTTCAGGAAGGGGAAGCAGCCAATCAAAGGGCTGTCATATAACACACAGGGGAAAGTCAGGCGGCGGTGGTGGGATTCGAACACTCGTCCTGCGGGGTGATAATTTGATGACGTCACCACCGGGCTACCATATAATAATCGCATGATATCAATTCCAAATATAAGCAAACTTCTTGAGTAAACCTTCAAATTTTTATTGCATAAAGATATAGTTGTTTGAACAATTTGACTGACTGAATACTATTGCACTAATAATGTTCGTTCGATAACAATTTGTGAATCGTCACAGTGGAAATACCAACAGAAGGACATCTGGTTTAAAATAGGGTATATTGGTTACTTTGTATATTTTATGTTCTAATGGGTTGTTGTAACCGTTCTGCTTTCACCAGTCCTCGCGATAAATGATGAAATGACGATGATGTGCGACATTGCATATTTTCAGTTCTCCACAATGCAAAGGTTCCTATCATATCATTTGATCATCCTTGTTTTACATTTTGTACCAAACAGACTCTATCAGATCTATTTCAGTTTGATTACATTTTTCTGAAAATGTGAAGGAATATAAATATGGCTGTCAACCAGATCAAATGGAAGAATATACATGTCTAATCCTCAGAGCTGGGATTCGTATTCATCATCACTGGCTTTCAGGACAAACCATTATCGACCAAAATGATTGTGCACTAATTTGTTTCCAGAGTCGCTTCCTCTGTCCATGCGAATCAAAACAATGTACACAACTGGACANGACACATCTGTGGACAACACATATGATTATTGCAGCAGGTCCTTGATTAGATCGACTTTTGTCTTTTATCGGTTAGCGCAACGAAATAAAGCCGTGTTCTTCAACTGGATAATCGATGAATTGCAACTGAGAGATAGTGTTCTCTAACTGGGCTACCGAAATGTTGGCCTTCTATTTAGATTGATCAGGTGATCTGTGTGAAGTCAACGAGATGATGTATTTATGTACCCAATGAACGCGTTACCTCGTAAGTTAATAAACCGTTCGTTTCAGTGAGAAAATTGAATTTAACCCATGGTAGCAAAATATGGTAATCGTTCTAAAGCGGAAATTTTCAGTGACGAGGATTATTTTAGGCAGTAATACATTCAAATATCCACATTCACAGTGCTTACCTCTGTTAAAAATGGAAACAATACACATTGTGTTTATGATGCGAGCAAAACTTAATTCATCTTTACCGGTTAAGTATACCGATTAAAAGATAACTTTCATTTTCACTTTGTCCTGACAGGTTTTACTGGGATGTTGTCATGCTTCTATTGCTAATAGCCAACCTCATTATACTCCCAGTGGCGATCTCATTTTTCAACGAAGAATTGAGTATTCAATGGATTGCCTTTAATTGCATTTCGGATACCGTATTCCTTGTAGATATTGCGGTAAACTTTCGCACAGGTAAGCACCACATTTCCCTGCATGTGACTGAATTAAAGAGCAACCCGGTTATAAATTTAATATTGCACCTAAATATGTGAAATTCGCACTTTTTTGGCGATGCATAAAGTGATCATATGGAAATAATGATTTTCATTTGAACTTGTACACACAATTGCTTATCTACTAAGTTATGTCAATCGAACAATATTGCGCTCCAACATCAGAATGTCACAAGAAACTGGCACGCAGAATCAAAAGTTGTGATCATGAGAGCTTTCTCATTTTCTTTGTCAACTCGTTTGATATGGTGTATTCATGCCCCCGACATCACTACATCGATCATATTTTACTTTTACTAAAAAGTGTTGACTGACACATCATATTCGACTTCATTCGAAATAAAGCAAATACTTTTTAGTCATATCTGGTTTGCTGTTTGTAATATACAAATATTCTATTCTTGAATGATATGTGCGCAGACCACCTGTGAAAATATTTGAGATGGGTTTCTAAATCCTCAGACAAAATACCTATTCGGTTTAAAATCCAGTATTGAGTTAAATTATTTTAAAAACCTTTTCTAAGCGTTTAGTTTAGTTCATGTGTATTCCTGAGATAAATTCACATGTTCATAAATAGTTGGCATTTTTTCCTGCGGAATATGAAAAAGTAAAATGATTACTATCCAAATATTCATTTTTGTGTTCCCCGTAATTTCAGTTAATAAACATACTTGTATTTATTGTATGGTCCCTGAAGTTACGTCCGATCGTTTTGCTACAAGAAAACATTTCTGGATATTATTAGCAGCTTGGAGAACATCAATAACAGTCCCTCTCGGGTTACATTGACTCATGCTGAGGGCCAGTAAAGTTGAGTGATTATTCTAATTAAATGGTTACAATGACGAAGTACCTCAGAAACTGGAAATTAAGTGCCTCTCTTCAGATGGTTTGAGGTACTTAGTGCAAGCAAGTCACAAAAGCAGTTGAAATCGATGAAAAATCGCATCTGAGGTATGCTTTTTGAACTGTTCATCTCGTATATGTGACAGAATACCATATGACATTTGAGATTCAGAGCGGAAAAGTATTTTGTCCCTTTGGATTGTCAACAATTAATCAAATCATTGCAGGATTGCGAAGAAAACAGCAATATTGAGAATTAAAGTTTGGAATTCCTCACTATTCGGGTGCATCAACTTCCGCATGTACGAAGGAGATGTTAAAGAGAAGGTGCACATATTAGAGTAATTTAACTCCAAGTTAAGGGGTGCCAGTCTATTTTTCATTCAAATAAATGCAAAGAGGAAGAGCTTCCATTGAGAAAAACCCGGCTAGTTTTTTAAACTCCCAAAGCTTCTTTTCTCTTCCCATAAATTCAACAAACAGCTATTCCAACAAGTCATTCTATAAAACTATCTATAACATACTGAGTGTTCATAAACACAGTCTGCACACCAGTGAATGATTATATATTTGGTGATAGCAGTATACTATTTTCGAACCGTACTTTTCATGATATCTTGCACCTAACAGTCTGCGGCACTGGAATTTCATTTCGAACTAAATTCTCAAAATTAGTATCAGCTGGTAAACAACTTTCATCTAGATGCAAATTGCCAACTAAAATTACGGTCTGACAGGAAAGTTTACTTCTGACGTGATGCGTTTGCATTTTTCTACCGTCCAGCATTCTTCATTTATTAATCAAGACAAACATTCGGTTGAGCGCATCCGCTACAAACCAGCATGCTGAGGGCTCTGCTTGCTCGGTCCTTTGATCGTGTCGCCGGACGCTTCACTCACTTGAACAGATTGCGGAGGTAGGATCCGTGCGAAACAATTCAAAAAAAACACTTTCCGTTTTACTATCAGAACAGGCTTTTAGGTCTAAACAATCTTTGGGATTTGTTTGAAATCCAAAGGTCAGATAATGCATATTGGATCAGATTGGGGTCCACCTGCCACCGAAGAAATAGAATTGCCCATTGCAAATTGCACAAACAAGCCATGATGCAATTCTGCCAGGCACTATTTCAAGTGCTTGTCCAGAGGTATTGTTTTCGACTACGTAAAAACGCTCTGTAACATATGTAATTGGTTCCGACTTCATGGAGATTACCGAAGACCAAAAACCGCAACAGTTTCGTTTACTGTTTTAGACCAAACCCCAATAAATCTGCAAGTCTAAATTGACTGACAGGTTCTATGAAAACAATCCAGAATCATTGGGTGTCTTATCAGAAAGAGCACTTCAAATATCTGAAACGCGTGATATTTTGTTCTACCCAGCGTATCCTCTATGTAAATCAACAAAAAGTTTCCATTTGAAGAGTATTCATAAAATGAAAGCAGAGAAAATTCTTCAACAATAGCACTCTACTGGAACGGAAAGGGTTTGGCTTTGAACAGAGTTAAAGCACACTAACTTCTTTTACACCTGGGTATGTGGCATTCCATTGTTATCAGACTTCAGGAAACTCATTGCGCTAAGCAGCATTGGATAAAGCATACGATTAATAAGTCGCTCATTTAAGGCTCAATGGTATTTTTGCGTTTATTGGTAAAGCAACGGAAAATAAAACAACCGTTCCAAAGGGCTGTCCAAGAAAGGTTTCAAAGACTCGGTTCACAAAGCTCCAAAGCACATTTGAGAAATACAACTCCGTCTAATTTGGTATTGTGGTTGACGGAAACAAGACTAAATATTATTTGTAAAGAATTCTTGCAATGTTTTGTCCTTTATTTCTTCTGCGTTTACGAGAACGGTTGTTGTGTTTCGGTCAATAGGTTGGATAACATGCATTTATCCACTGCTCGGAATTACACACTTGCTGCCAGACCTCGAAGTGGTGATTGCTGTCCGTTATTGCAGTGCAAGACCTTTCTGCGACAATTTTCATTTCTTCGAAACAGTTAACTTTAGAGTGTAAGATTCGTGCCAAAGTTATTTTATAACTGTGTATATACATCAGTAATCAGACGTTATAAATACCTGAACAGGTCAGGATTTTTATACTGTTATACACAGCGAGAATTTCATTGCAGTTCGAATTTTACGATTTTTTTCGAATATATTGTTGAGCTTGATACACAGTCCAATGCACATTAATGCACTACACTGTGCCGTTTCATAAACCGATTTAAAGTTCTAATCGGGTTTCGAATTGCTAAACAATGCCACCTTATACATACTAGTTTTCCTAGAAAACTTTAATGTAAGAACTGATTAGATTGCTGGTTTTACGTAAACGCAAAACAGAGCCTTACTGTCAATGTTGGCCCAGTGATTGTTTAATTGTGATTCTGTCAATCATTTCCATTGCTAAAAGTATGCAAACATTTGTTGTATTTTCACTGTCATTACGTTTTTCATTCTGCTTTGTCCCTCAAACCGTTTCTCAATTAAGTTTCCCCTTTTAGAAGAAATAAAATAAACTTGAATCATTCGTATTACGCAAAACTCAAGCAATTCAAAATAATATAATACGAAAAATAATGCAGCACTGATAATAAATCATTCATATAATAAATAACAATGTAGGGGAACATATATTATCAGTGAATTCCTTTCCAAGTCTTTACAATCACATTTGTCTGAAACAATTTCAATACGGTTTCATATAACTGTGATTGTAAGGGTTTGAATAGGAATTCACCGAAAATATATATTCGCCTACATTGTGTTCTTAATCAATGGATATATTTCGTGATTCAAATAGTTATTTATGATTTCATGAATCAAAAGTTACTAAGTTTTGCGAATCCAGAATCTCAACGGTAATCACGATTCAATAAAGAAATCATTTTCAGATGTTCGCGACGAAATCAATAATAAGTTAATTTAGTGAACATTGTTTTGCTTTCAAATTGCTCAATGAATAGCATTTACTTCTAGTTTATATTTTTCTTAGTTGTTTATACAAACCACAAGATCTACAAGGAAATGGGCGAAATTGTGCAGCGTTCCACTCAGAACCGTCTTGAATCTACTGATTTCTGGAATAAAACGCGTGAATTGCCCCAAAACTCACGGGTCCACTAATTGGTTTGGTATTTATGTTTTTTAAACATGAACTGTGTCTTTGGTATTTTACTCAGTTATTTTTCTGAATAAGAAAATCGAAGGAAAGTGAAATGTTTTTTCAATTAGTGATACAGAAAGACAAGATTGAAAGTTTAGAAGAGCATTGATTCTTCACATACGGGGCTTGTAAACATCAAACATTTCTCCATTAGTAGAGGCAATAACAACCCAGAACTGAGTAGAATGCTTAGTAGATTCCAACACGGAGTATAAAATTGCATTAAATGCAGTTCTGGTCAACTATTCATTACCTCAATTCTTGCCAATCATGTACGATTTGGCCCGGATCGATGCAATTGCGGGTTTATAAATATTGTTATGTCTCATGCGATAATACAATAACGCAAAATGAAGTACATTATCAGGAAATATACCGTTTAATCACACTGAACTATAAATCCACCTAATCTTTAATCCGTGTGTAAACGGCCATCATGGAAACTAAGCGATCACGATCACCCATTATTTTTGCTGCACACATTCAAAATCATTCCAAGTCTGACCAAATTTTACAACAGTATGGAAGTCACAGGCTGCACTGTGTTGTCTAACTTTCTACCGAAGCAATAAATGGTGTACAAAATGGAATTGTGGTATCCGAACGACCACTTCGCCATCCCGAGTGAAAAATAAGGTCACGTGCTGAATTTCTGCCAAACAACAATTTCATTTGGAATAATTTCAGTTATTCCTTTTGGCAAGCAAAGCCGAACTAGTTGGGGCACGTGAGCTCTATGACTCCGCTCACCAGTGAATTATTTGAAATGGCTAATACCTCTAACCTGGGCAAAGTGCGATAATTAAGGTAAAAGGTAAAATGAGATTATTGTTGTGTCTTAACATTCGTAACCAAATGTTCGGCTTTCCTTTGCGTTGCTCTGATTTTCAGGTATCATCAAAAACAATTTTGCGGACGAAATAATGCTCAATCCAAAAGAAATTGCTCGTCAATACATACGAACATGGTTTTTCTTGGATCTATTAAGTTCTTTACCATTGGATTATATATACCTTATCTTACACGATAACGAAAAATTCACTCAATTTGTACATGCGGGTGAGTTGAAGCAGATAAAATCCCATGAAAGTGGTTTTTGCTCCCTGTTCGTGATGCTTTATCAACTTTTGGGTTATTCGCTGCGATTCTCAAATTCATTTGTCCTTCTCTTCATACATATGTGTATCACCTGCGTGCCACCGCATGCTTTTTCACTTATAACTGTATAATTCCGGATTGCGTAGAACTCTAATTCAGCACGAACAAATCTTGAGTTCAGGCAGAAGGAATTGATTTGAACGAGAAGTCATAGCACAGTACTCGTCGTTCATGTCTTCACCTATTCAGTTATTTGGTAATAAAATTTATTCAGTAAATGAATCATTTCACCAGTTAGTGATATATGATGTGCAGTTATTAGGCAATGATTCTACCCAGAAACATTGAGTGTGCGCACGATCGGTAATTGATTTTATAATCATGGATGCATTGTGGATGTTTCGTGGAATGTCAAACGATCTCACAGGAGAAACTGAGTTAATCCGGGTGAGGGAAATCGTGTGTGAAATTAGAACTAGGGAAAATATGTGAAGTACACAATATGTCAGCTTCCTATTGACATGATGACAAAAGTTCCTGCCTCAGGATATACTGTTTGCGCAGTTTATTTTTCACAATCTCGAAGCATGGGTTTCAGCCGTGAAAAGAAAATGCAATTTCGTTCAACCCTGTGTTTAGATACCGGGAGTTACATACAAGCAATAAATTTATTTTTTTCAATTTTGTTCATTTGCTTTATACCTCTATGTTCACCCATTAAGAGAATATATTTCAAGATAGTTTCAACTCATACGTCAAGGGACTTAAGTTAGTTTGATTTGTGAACTTGAAACAAAAACTTGACATTCGCTTTCCATGAGAAGGTCAAACTAAATCTAAAGCGTGGTAACGTATTCTTGCACTACTCGTATTACATATTCACAAAAATCCAAACAACTCAACATGTGAGCCCCAAAAGCGCTCAAATATGTGGCAAACAGGGGGCTGAGATTGACGCGCTCCGGAGTATCCTCCTTATTTTTGGTGTGTGAGCGAGGACAATTTCTAGCAAATTCTTTAACGACCTGTCTCTGGAGGGGAGAATAACGGTTCCAGTGCTTGAAGTAATAGAAAATCTACATTTTCTTTTTTCCAGCTTTTACTGAACTGATTGGGCTGTTTGGAAACAGTGTTTCGCTTTCTCCGAATAGTTGCGATATAAACATACTGAAACGAAAAAGTTTAACTTAGCGGTGAAACTTGAAATCGGTATCACTGAATTCTTCAACAGATGATCCTGATTAAAGCAACAAAAGGATTCTCAGGAAATCAATTGGGTTTTGTTATCGAGAAGCTAAAGGGTAGGAACAGCGCAACGGAAGCAAACAAATAACGTTCTATTCACGACGATTGGTTTTACTTCAGTCTGGTTTACATGAACCACTATCCGTGCATTTATTCAAACGGCGAGAAGACTTTGTACTCGCAATCATGTATCTCTGTGCTTGTAAACAAAATTTCAATTGAAAGGCAAAATATGTAACAAAACTCACGCAAAAGTCGACTGAACTGTAAAATTTAAGATATTTTTGGCGTAATGCAAAACCTGGAGAAAAAAACGATACCTCCAAATGGAGGCTAAAATGTTTCCTCCATCAAACTATGCAAATAGTTGTTATCTTAGGATATTCGGAGTTATAAAACACTTTTTGCGATAATTATAAAGACAAATGGGTGGAAAACGTAATATTTATACCTAGTTTTATCAGAAGGATGACATTGGAGACATTGAAGCTCGCAACTGACTTAGTCAGTATCCGAACTATGAAAAACGTTTACTTCAATGCAATGTTAAATAAAATGTGAAACTTACGACATGCAAAAGTGTTAAACGCAGAAAATAAGTGTTTTAAAACTTATGCATAAGTGAATACGTTACAAACTGAATGTGATTAATGATTGCATCATCACTGGATTATAACAAATAATTGTAATGTACCGAAAAAATCAGAAACAGCCCACGAATAAAGAAACAGTAAGCACAAGTAGAAATCAGTTCACTAAAAGTATTAGTGTTGGCTGCTCAAAATGAGGAAAGTTGTCCAACACAAAGATCATCTCAATTGGATGGAATTCATTTAATGCTACGTGATCGCAAATCGATTTCCATTTCACGAGAAACCACTGCGTGAATTCATCTACACGATATTTAAAGGTATATGTTTTGTTCCCCCTGCACTACGGATAGGTCATGAATAATCGATGAGATGGGCCCCGAGTCCAACAGCGCGTATTGTATATTCCGATGTTTATTACCTTCAGTCCATAAACAAATTGGATGCAAAGCTATAAAGCATTCGGAAAAACAGAACCTCATTATTGAAGGACAGAAAACAATGCTAATCGCAATTCTGCGCCCCTTCAGCCGCTGCTGCTCTTTTTATAACCCCAAGAAGAACAATAGCTGTTTGAATAAGGATACAATAGTGATGCTACTAGGATGATCCATGCGGCGGTTTAGTAGAAGCAGTGACAACGACAATACCCCTAAGAGTGTTTGACGTTTCTGAAAAATTTTCTTAGCACGTTGTAGGCTTCCTAATCTGTAAACAAACGGAAGAACTATTCCATGAGGGGCTTCCATTAGATATTCGTTTTCATTTACCAACAACTATTCTATTTATTCAATAAAGAGCACTAGATTATAGATTATCATCATTTTACATGTCTGTCAATCACATTTTCAATTCTGAGCATACCAACCATTATTGACTCCAACGATTTATTGGATTTCCCTGACAAAGTTTCCTTTAGGTGTTTATTCAAAAGATGGGTAACCTTTTTCTCCTAAGAATTTATTAATTCTCGTAGATGCCCAAATATAAGGTCTCTTTCAATCATCGGATGCAATGATGTTTTAAGTTGTGAGATTTACATTCGTCTGTACGGTGTTGCGATTTACGCAGTTTGTTTCTGTCTACCTTGTAATTAAGTTCGTACGTCGTATTTTGAGAATAATCATCTCGTTTGATCAAATTATGAGCCTCACTTGGTTTACTATTTATCCAATCGGAGAACATTTTGTTACATTCTGTTTAAAGTTTGCCACCACCAATACAAGTTTCGTGCGATTTTCTTTGTCCAGGCATACACTTTAACACAGACGGACGCATTTTATTCGTCTAGTAAGAATACCTTATCAGAGCAGTTCACAACCGTGTGTCCATCGGATCACAACCAGCACGGTAGTACTCAACTTTATTCAGTTAGTGAAGCTTATGACGCACGCAAAGTTTAGACCCTTCCGGAATTTAGGCTTTACAACACTAATATCTGGCACATAAAAACAAATCACTAAGCAAGTTATCTGTATAAAAAAAACAATCAAATATGTATTTGGCGTGTGTCGAAACACTTGAAATTATGTTTGCCAATGTGGCTTTTGAAGAGCATCTGACCGGGTGGGGGGAATCAGTCACCGCCTCACCTGAACACAGTTTCAGAGAGCTTACATGTTTTAAAATTTAACGGAAGGCTTTATAACAAGTAGATGTTGCAATTGTGAAATGTTGAGTAGCCTTGGTGAGATTTGAACCCATGCATGCATTTCGTAATTGCAACATATGACTTTAGTCTGCCAATCAAGAATTTGAAGTACAACAGAGTTTTGTTTTGAACTAGTTCTCTCCCAATGATGAGACAATATTGAAAATCAGGTACACATTCATATCTGTCACCTTTCTGCTACTTTTGCCTGAAATATTCGGTTTTTCCCTTTCCACAGGACGTGCACTTCGTTTTTTAAGGTTTGTCAAACTGCTCAGTCTCATTCGACTACTGCGACTTTCCCGTTTGGTTCGTTACGTCAGTCAGTGGGAAGAGGTAAGTCCCTATGTTTGCAGTCAGGTGTAAAGTTCCTGCCCATTTATAATCACACAGGTAATGAATTCACATTTGAACTCTCTTGTGAGCTTTGTGCATTCAAATGAAATTCACTGGTACTTGCTCATCAAGCACTACATAAGAAAATCCGCCTTGCCATTACCAAGTTAATTCCAATATTGAAAGTATCGTACTTCATATCTGTAACCACGGATTCGTTTCATTAAAAACACCCTATCAGCCAATATTCACATTTTGACCTCGAGTAACATACAGAAGTCAAATCACTACGCATCTGTGAGCCAATTAAAAAAACGAGTGGATGAAAAAGGGTTTTTATCAGACCGGATTAAATCCCATTAACCGAACTGTTTAGCCCGCATTTTGCTTGGATTTACCCGAAGATTATTGTGAGATCAAACGTATTCTTGCTTAGTAAACTTTTTACGGATTATTCAGACACAACTTGGAGTAGATCTCAGAATGTATTCAATATAAAAGTTGTCCATATTCCGACAACGAATGGAACATATTTATCTGTCCTCTAACATTTTAGTTGGTACGTCATATTAGGAAATTTGATGCGTTTGACGAAACGCAATCAAACAAACCATTGAGGAAAATAAACATACGATATGTGATTTAAACGAACTGGTTGAATTCGGTTGAACTGAGATCGGCAGAACTTGATCATGAGAAAGCAGGAGCTATGCAAAGGCTTCAAGCTTTTTCAGCATACCTTTCTACTAAGCCAAAACTTTCACTGGAATCCGTTCACGACGGCTTCAAAACGAAGCAGTGGAGCGTATCAGTGTTACTGTCTTCTTATCTTTTTAAAGTTGTTTCCATCACTCAAAGAAAACATTCGTTTCCAGTCTTACTGCCAACGCCAACACGTCAACTTTTCGCATGACTAGCTCACCTCGCATATCAATCGATTTCTTTTTCTTTATACCCTTATAACATATCAACATGAAATAGTGATGCCAAAAATCTGCTGAAGCGAGGCTGATGCATTTCGGCCTCATGCAAAATGAATAAAATCTTAGGGTGACAATTTTATGCTGGAAACCACAGTTTAGCTTTTATTCGGAATAGTAGGGCATGATCGATGCCTAACAGAGGAAACGCTGCTTCGAAGCAGCAATTGCACGTTAGACGAAAGCAGTGAACATTTAGCAGTAAAGTGTGCCTATAGAATAGGTTCGTCATATTGCCATACTATGCTCCTGATAATCGTTGATCGGGAGGGGGGATGAACAGAAAAAAACTAGCCCGGTACCTTGTAAAACAAAGCATTTTATTCGTGCTGTTTGAATATAATCATTTCTGTACGCTTGAATAATTCACTTCACTGTAAAATATTGCCAACGCATGGCTCTAGTACGACAATTCTGACTTTGTTGAACGAGTCAAACACCAATAAAATTTTATTATCGCAAACAACATTCATAGACAGCTAACATTCCAGACTACTGTTGTTATTTCACGAATTAAATGAGTCTTTATATCTATCAGAGGAATTTAGTAAAACAGCATGGATTGCTAGCTACAACTGTGTTGGGTTGACACACACGAACAGACATGAAGCGATGGCAGCCGCTGTTAAAGATAAATTTCCAGAATAAATTTATTTTGCTTTGTTAGCGAATAATTGCAAAAACAAAGGTCAAATGATGTTCCGTTGCAGGCAACCAACCATTTAATTGTTTGATTTCCATCTGTATATTCAAAATATCTTGTCATTATTGATGTGGAATTTGGTTCCCGCTTTCGACTAGGAACCTAAATTGGCAAAACAATTTATTTTGCATGTACTTGCTTGATATCCATGTCATCATTAATCGTTATATTCAACACAGCTCAGAATAAAGTGAACAATTATGAAATGTCATGCAACCAGTTCCCTTTAACAATTTTATGAGAGCAAGAAGAAGCATCATGATCACAGGATGTGTCAAATTAAAATTTCGTGGTAATCCCATCATCTGTGTACATACATTCAGATCACGTTTGGTCAAAAGAGTGACAGGTTTTGGGACAGGCGAACATACGCGGGGAAGAGAAATCAATCAATACAAAGGCCAAAGGTCACTAAGAGGAGCCGGGTTGGATGTTGTGGTAGAGAGTGGAATCACTGCAGGGTGGGGGGGGGAGAGGGAGGAGGACAGTGACACACCGACCAGCGGGGCAGCTCGAGGCTAGCCACAATTCGGGCTTGTAACGTCGAATGGCAGCCGCTTCAGAGAACCGTAATAGACGGCTATCTTTCTGACGGATCAAGACACGAAAGGCATCCCTAGGCTTGTCACATTCTTTGCAATCAAATATATGTCGGCCGATTGAACGGGACGGAAGCTTGGACCCGTTTGACGCCAAGATTTTCGGTGCGTGTTCCGCTATCCTGGTAGACAATCGTCTCTCAGTTCTTCCGACGTACTTGCTACCGCAAGTACACTGAAATAGATAGACACAGGAGGAGGTAACTGAAGAGTCGGGTTTGTCTAGATTGGATTCAGCGAGCAATCGCTTCGTGTCGTGCAGTACTAGGAGCAAGGCGGCATTATATGTTCTCTCAATCGCTTGTTTCAATCTCCGCTGTATCCACCTATCATTGTGATCACCTTGGAAAGGTATAGTAACATAAACGGCTTTTTTGAGGCGATCACTTTGTTTTAATTTATTCGTTGGCGCTCCATACTTTGAAATGAACTTTTTGGGATATCCATTTTCGTGCAGTGCCGTGGAAATGCAGCGAACATCGGACTCCAACGTTTCACTAGAGCAGATTATCCTGGCTCTAGAGAATAAACTGTGAACCAACGACCGCTTGTATTGTATTGAACAGAAACTTCTAAAATTAAGATACTGTCCCGTCCATGTCGGCTTGTGAAATGTTCATCTTGCGAACATTTTTTCAATCCTTTTCAGGTACTTCCTAACAATAACCAATCAATCTGTAGAATGTATAACAAATTTTCACTTTGGTGCAAATATTTCACCGTCGTCTGGAAAACATGTTGTCATTTCCTCCCTCCGTTTTCATGCAGTTCCTCAATCTGGCGAATAAATTTATTGGTATTTTTAACTTGGTATTGCTGCTTCTCCTACTTGGTCACTGGAACGCGTGTCTTCAATTCCTCATCCCCATGCTCAATGACTATCCCGTGGACAGTTGGGTGAGCAAAGGGAAACTACAGGTAAGTCCGTAGTTTCTGTACAGACCTCTGGTATTTAAATTCGAGGTATTTAGTTCTCCCAAAGGTGTAGGGTACCTTTGTCTCAGTGAAGTCCCGTCGCTAGTCAGTTTTAGCATCAAACCCACGAACCGTAGTTTGACACCATTTTAAACATTTTGGAGGTGAGATTGCTGAAACCGATTCTTTAAGCTGCAACAGCTTCTTTAAACTGAATTAAACAGTGGGGATGTGTGCATCGCGAAGAAGAACTTTAAAGTGTTTTCCAACTTTCCACCAAAAATTGCAATGTTGAGCTAAAATATTTACTGCATCGTGATACTATCTACTGATAGTAAGACAATGGATAAAAATCATTACGCTGGGCCGGTGGTGGCCAAGTGGTTAGGTCACCAACAAGTGACCTGGGTGTCCCGGGTTCGAACCGCTCCACCGCCACCCGTCTTACCCATATCTGTATTTTCCACAGGCAGCCTTTGTGTGGGCGCAACCCTTAACCTGAAAGTTGACTTTACATTTGTATTTTCAATAAATATAAAAAGGAAGTTAAAGGGCAAACATTACAAATAACTTGTTTTATATTCAGATTTTGAAAGATATTATCAATCATAAGCATAACAAAATGGGGAGGACCGTATTGCTACTCAAACCTGATAAGCTCAGAAAAGAGCGAATGCAGGTCATGCTCTGCCAAACCTATGTTCCTTAGTATTTCAACTGAAATGAAAAGGCTTTCATAATCTTGGAAAATCACATTTTGTAGGCGTTGTAGATGAAACTGTGTAATGCATGACAAACCATGTTAAGTATCCCATAATCTCAAAACATTTTATACCTTTGTTGCAGTGGGCTTTCAATATAAATATAAAGTAGTAAGGTTTTCAAGGGCTGAATCAAACGGCTCTTTGACGGAGCCTTAAACACCAATGTCTATTAGTTATCATAGTTTTCCTGTGAACTATCTCGATTCCAGGAATGGAATGTATAGATCTCTCACTTCAGGTCATTTCATTTACTTACACCGGATGATCTGGATATCTGTTGGTTCCTCGGAAATTATAACTAATAAAATATAAAGCTCCAAATTCGTATTAGGTAAGATGGCGTGAACTGTTAATACATTTGCAATTTCCTTCAGTCACTAAGGCATGGATAAACATTGCATTACGCTGAGATGAAAAGAAAAGATTTTGAATATCAGATCTTAGTGAATGACGCGTTATATCCGCAACCTTCACTATACAAATTGAATAGAATAGTCGTTGGAACAATGGTGAAACACGTCTTCAAATACAATGTGGCTCTGAATTGCGTGTCCAGTTTATAAAACATTATTCATCAGTCGATTAAAAAAGGATCTTATATTACATTTAGAAAGCGTTTTGTTTGAATCAAATTTTGTAATAGAGCTTCAACGTCTAACCTGCTGAAGATCAAAATCAGTGATCTAGCTGCTGGGGAACCGCATCCGTCATTGTCGGTGCGTTCAGACGTAGGAAGAATGATGGATCGGAAATTATCCACTGCACGTCATTTCTTGAGAACAACAGTGCAGTGGCGAGGTGATTTAAATGAATTTTAAACTTTCAAATTTAATCGTCTTTAACATCCATTCATTTTGATTTCATGTACATAAACAAAAGTCGAGAGATCGTTCATCAGTCAATTTAATGCACATATGGGCTACTGTCAACGAGATAAAATTTTCTACGGAGAGCCATCGACTTATGTGCATCACAATCGATAAATTCGCAATGTTGTTCACGGATGTAGGGGTGTCTTTCTAGGCACCATTACCATCTAAGCATATCGGTTAGTTAGAAAGTATTATCTAGCTTGTTTTACTTACCCATTACATATGTTACCCGCACATCAACCGTTTTCAATATAATTAAGTGACTTTATTAACCTTTTTGGGGCATGCAGTGCAATGCGGATAGAACACGTGTCTCTATAGCGATCAAGTCAAGTCAAAAAACCGCTTTAAATCGCCCGATGGGAGACAACTACTCAGCTACTACATAATCACTTTTCTGTAGTGAAAATGGCAAGGTAGAAACAAAAGGAATAATGATACACGGTGTTCCCCGACACAAGCAAATTCGCCGTTCAATAACAACATCAGTATAAAAGAGAAACCGTGCAACAAGATACGGTAGTACAGAAAATATGTACGCTTTGGTACGTGCTGCTATATGTTTGAAGCGAGTGGTGAATGAAAAAAATACATTTGATATGTCTAGCAGTATTCTGACAGAAATTTTCTGGCAAGCCTTAAAGTGCTTCGAAATCATAAATTGCATCGTATGTTTGCAAGATATACCAAATCATAGTTATACGTATTCGATGAATGTGCCAATGAGTTTGAAGTCATTGATAAAAAGACGGGAAAAGCTAACTGTGAGGAAGAACAAAATATATTATTAAGCAGGTTGGCCTGCTGGCATTAGTTCACAACATCAATGAATTTGACGAAATAATCCCACAGAGCACATTTCAAACAAAACATCAGAATGATGAATAGGCTCAATTCCAGAGATTCGTATTCATGCCCATATATCACAAGCTACATCATTACTCTGAATTAAAACTGTCTCGGGAAAATAAAATAAAATCACATCATATCACAGATTACTATAACCGATTTCNNCCGATTTCATCTTGAGACTGGAAATCGGATTCACCACATTTGTTTGTCCACTCAATCGATCGTCGTGATTACTCGTGATACGATGTGTGTCTGCGGGGTGGGCCAGGGAAGCTTTCACGCTTGCACAAATTGCTTTAGGGCAGATAGGGAGCCGTGCAGACGAATGACCACTGCTACGGCCAGCATCCGACGGTGAACTTGCCTCGATAATCACCCACGACCTTTATACAAGGAGCGGAAAGCCTCGACCACGTCCAACGTGTGATTTATTTCAGCTAGGTGTAAAATCATTGCATACAATTGCAGTGGGTGACTTAATCATTCCGGTGTTCAGCCATGCAGGATGGTGTCACGAATCCTTTCGGACCATCGCCTGACCGTGCGGCCGGAACTTTGTCCTTCAGTCATAAACACACAATTGGCTTGGACATGAACAGTGCATGAAGCTTAAATGCATAGTCTTAACGATTGCGTCAGATAATTTTCTTTGCATAATCTGAGCTGATGTGTTCTGTTTGAACGGCAAAAAATGTACAGAATTTTTTCTTAACCTCTTTCTTTTGTAAAGAGTTCTCCGTGCACTGAATCATTTTGTTGACTAAACGCCCCGGAAACTTGTTACCTGCAAACATCGTTTTTATCGTACAGTTTCCCTTCTGGCGTGTCTTCATTGCAGATCTTTCTTAACCTGTCCGCTAGGCATTGAACTAGATCCCATTTAACCTTTAGTGGCACAAAGCTTCCGTAATGGATGCATTGGTCTTTCCAAGTTGCTTTTCTAGGCACGGAACACTGGGCCAAACCATGCGATGGAGGGTGATGCAGACAACTAGGAACGCTATTTAACTACCGCGTGTATAGAACACAGTCTTCAATGGATGACTGTAATTGAGGGTCTCCAAGTTTGGCCATGAATAAGTCCACGAAACGCGGTCCCAGCGGAGTCCATATCAACCTGCCATTGCATTGCTGAATTATGCGTGCAGAAGTAAAACAGTTGTTTTAGGTCATTAAATAGAGGCTAAGCTCTATATTATTAGTTTTTACATAACTGCACAGGTTCTCCATCCCTTCGCTAATGGGAACACTTGTTAACAACAAGCTAACGTCCAGTGAGAGCATTGTTCAACCAACCAAGTTCGCATGCGAATTTTATTCACAAAGGCAAACGTATATTTGATACTGTAGTTCTTTACCCTAACTCCAAAGGGTTCTAATAATTTGGTCAACTATTTTGCTAGGGTATGATATGGCGAGTTTCACATATCCAACATTGGTCGTAATGTTACTTCATCTATTTGAACTTTTGGTAATCCATACAACCCCGGAATAACAGTCCCGGTTTGGCCAATACGTTCGAAAGTGGATGCCTCAACGAACCCCCTGTTTTAAGCATCGCAAAATCCTAGAGAGTGCCCCTTTCATTTGGGCCGTCGTATACCTTTCCGTCGTTTTGGTGAAGTTCGACCAATCACTCAAATGATATTCATCCTGTCTAGGTAGCAAAATCGATTTAGCAGCACGTTCACCGTCCCCATATCCGGTTCAGGTAGTATAACATCTTTATTTTCTGAAGGCCTCATAATGGTTTGATGTGTTCCGTAGTCACTAGTTCATTTTGATTTAGCTGGACATTCTGATGCTGATAACAAGGATTAACTAAGGTTGATTTGAGCCTTTTAAACTCCACTGATAACAAGAGAACCAGGTCCGAAAATTGTGCAAATAGGTTTTTAAATTTCACCTCCAGATACAATTGGTTTGATCTTCTATTCGGAAAACAAAACTTTGATCCCTGAAATAACACTTCTAACAGCATTTTATCTAATCTACGCTGAATATATTGCTCAACTTGTTGTTTGGCAGATTGAACTCTTATGTTGACATCGTGAAAAGTTCAGTAGCCTCGGTGGGATGCTAGTTGAACTGAGTGAACGGATACTAGTGAACTTTCCATGATTTCAGCTTGATAAATTGTGAACATACTGCTTAGATTTGGTAGGGAACTCACTCACCGGCTTGGAACGGTTAAGACGCAGGCGCAGCGTGGTTTGGCTTCGTTCCACCTGTTTGGAGATAATAGACTGAGCATGATCTTCAACAGATTGTCTTTCGGCTTGCGACAAATTATTCAGCTCACACTCAGAGGTTACACAATTACGCCTTACATCCACGCGATGGTTACACAGCGTATGCCACTCATTCAGAGTTTACTGGCGTAGTGCTGCTCCGGCAGTTTGCGTAGGCGCTAAAGCTTCACCGGCCCATCGGCCAAACACCCTATTACGCGTAATCTCATTGATCGAATGAGTGGATAAACAACAGTATGATCCTGGCGAAGTCCATTACCGAATCTCGGAATGTA